ATTATATCCTAGCCTTTAATTTTAAAATCAGATTATATATAGGTATAACTACTTGTAAGAGAAATATAAGGTTAATATTATATATATTGCTTTTTAGATACCTATTTTTAATTTTACATAAAAATTACACTGTATTTTATATTATTCCAGTAAATAATAGAGTAGACTACTTCTGATTAATGCTGTATGCTGTAAATACTTTATAATTATAGTATATAAAATATCTCTTTAATATCTTTAAAGCTTGTTGAGATATGAGCGTACAAAAAACGCATTTTGTATGGGTATTCTAGTGATCGGAGCAACCGGGTGATCGAAACAGCCGGGAAATACGTTATGGGATGGACATACATCTTGGGTTAAGTTTTAGTTCTCTCATCGTTAATCACTAACCAACCATTTTCTAGTCTAGAGACTAGACCTAGACTGTAGAGGCTCTGGAGAATATATCCGTTTCCAGCTAACTAACTCCCGAAAATGGCAACATTTAGCGTCTACCTATCTTTGTTCACATCACACCGCTTTTTACTACACTGAATATTCCCCAAAAGATCGACCAGACATCATAATGGGATTTAGTATCTGGACATTTCTATTAAAGAGTTTTTGTTCTTCTGCACTAAATTCTTGTTTTCGACCAAAATTGACGTTCGTTGGTCGTGTTATGCGTTTGCGGAGTATTCTGCTGTGACGTGTCGAGATATCGTGGCAGCGATATTAGAGGTTCGAAGGCATGGAACTAGACTAGGCTGCTAGAACGATACTGCGGAGTACATATTGATTGCAACTAGGACTAGAGAGAAATCCACATCTACGGAGTAGGTCAAGATACCTGATATAATCAAACAATAATAGACAAATTAACTGTATGAGTACTCAAATTTCTGGTTTGGCCCCCGTGTAGGATTTGCAGAGTAATTTCATACAACCAACAAATAATAATTGGGGGCTACAAATTAACCTCCAACAGTACTCCGTACGTGTAGCCAATCTTTTGCCAAAATAAGGCAGCAGAACATACTCCGTACCTATGACGAGGCGCTGCTCTGTGCGGTGTGCCGCACTGCTCCACAAAGGCAACACTTCTGCCAGTCTGTTTTCTATTAATATTTTGACAGTTGAAGGATCGGCTCAGCCCCAGCACTGCCCAGGAACCATCAACCAACAGCTTTCTGGCAGTTTATTGGTTGGTGCAATGTAGCAACAAAGCTTCGCCTAATTACTAGCCCTGGTGGGTAATTAACCAACATCAACAGCAATCTATATAGCCTTGTTGGATGCTCAGCTCTCAGCTCAGCTTGTTTTGTCACTCATCTCTCAGACTCCTTCAATCTGATCAGACTCTTCTTTGTGTGAAGGGCTATCTTATCAGGGTTGAGAGTCTGTTCAGCTTTTTTTTTGACCTAATTTGCAACGAAACCATCGATTGATTGTAGTGATTCAACAGACAACCAACATATAACCCACACACGCTATTTTCATTAGTCTGTTGAACGCCAAAATGAACGCGCTCTTCATCGTCCAGCTTGTCGTTTATATCCTGCTGTGTCCGCCCATCCTCTACGTCTGGTACCACCATGGCTGGCCCGGTTTCCTGGGATGGGGATACATGGTAGTTTTCTGCGCGTTCCGCATCATCGGCGGTGGCATGGCGATCAACGGCACCGGCACGGGGCCAGCTATCCTCGCAGGACTGGGGATTTCCCCGCTCTTGCTGGCTGTGAACGGAATTCTCGATGAAGCGTATGTATATTCGTCTTGAACGAAAGAGAAAATGGCGGTAGCTAACCCAAACATCGACAGTCGAATCTATCGCAAGCCCGACCAGAACAGATACCTGCGTCTGCTGCTCCTTGCCGTCATGACCGCCATCGTTGCCGCGGGCATTGCTGAAGCTGGCACGGGCGCTGCAGCGCTGGGCGGCAGCAACCCCAGCTCCGACGACGTCACCAATGCTTCGATCGGGGTTGGGTTGTTCTTCACCACATGGGTGCTTCTCGTCGCCTGGGGGTTGTTCCAGCTGAGATCGACGCAGCAAAGACGGGATGCCATTGCTTTCCGGGAAGGCACATTGGTAAGATCTCTACATCTCTATAAAATGATGAGTGCATTGCATTGCTGACATCCCCCGCAGCTCCTCTACGCTATCTTCGCCTCCCTCATCTTCGTCGGAATCAGAGTGACATACATCCTCGTCGCGGTGGCCACGAAGAAGGAGTCCTTAAACCCGATTACCGGGTCGCTGGTCGTCCGGGTCCTGCTCAGCTTCCTTCCCGAGCTCATCAGCAGTTTGATTTTGATCTTTGCCGGTTTGAAGACACTGGAAGTGGGACAGATTACGAAGGCGGGATATGGTGTGCCGACGGCTATGGCATACTCGGTATGGAGGAATTAATTGCGCTTATTAGGATGAATGTAGACGTATTTTTCCTTTTTTTTTTCACTTACTGTATTGGGTATGTGGTGTGGAGTTTATAATATATTTTTTTTTTCGTGTCATGTTTTGTAGGCTCCTGTGATGGGTCATGTTGGCTCTTCTCTATTCAAATGAAGGATACACTGTGTTCCATAGAGGGATAAAGAGGTACAATGATGTACATACATATGACTGAATGAAAAAATAAAGGAATCTGATCAAAAATGGAGCTTTGTCGCTGCTGCTTTGCATGTCGAGGTTTTGGATATATACCAGTTTCTCAACGGAGATGGAATTCTTCTATAAAGATACCACTGGAAAAAGAAAATAAACTTATTGATCGATGACTCAATCGATCATTATATTAGTGAATCGATCCTCCAATCCTGACCACCTTTTTGCCTCCTTTTGTTTTTGTGTTAATTCATTCAAGTCACAGAATTTTTTTTCTTAAAAAAATGAGGCACCAATCTCCTAATTAAACATATTGAAAGTAAGTACATACAAAGTTGACTGGCTTGAATTGAAATTCAATTTCTGTTTTTTTTAATCTTCCCTACAGCTAGCTGGGTTGGTTCATGTTTCGTCAGCGAGCACCATATGATATACACATGGTTGTGAATTGTTATGGACTCACAAGAAGCAATATCAACTAATTTGTTTGTGCATATAGAGCTAAGACTGTCGCCTTCCTGAGTGGAAGGTGATGCTGATTGATTCTAGCCGTTGGATAAGCAGCACTCTTTGCATTGAGTTGGTTAGGTATGTATGTACTGTACGTACATGCATAAAGCTGCGAGTCAGTAGACTCAATATATAATGCGTATCTAACGAGAAATTCCTTATATCAATAGGTCTACCAAAGACATGTCAACTAGCAGTTCTAATTCCCAATAATGTAAAGACCAGTAATCCAGGGCGAGAATAATAAAGGCCCCTTCTATCAAAAAGAGCAAGCAAAGCAGACTGCCCGTCCTTAGGGATCGTCGGCGTGGACAGATAGGCAGCTTCAGTAAAAAGGATCCCCCGTAAGAGGACTTACTCCACGGCAGGTGTCCTCCTATAGGAACAATATAACCTCCTGTCTAGCTCCGAAGGAGACATCGGGGTCATGTTTCTAGATAGGCGACCCCTCCACTAGTAATACCAATAATAAACCAGAACAATGGGACAGCCCAAGCATGCGAATACGCTTAGTAAATAAGCTTAACCGCTAGCAAGACTATACAATATAGTTGGTATTGCCAAGAAAGAAGATCTGGAGTTCCTTTACCATATCAAGGGGTTCGACGAGGGAAAGCCTGAAAGGAAGGTTTATCCCCCATAGAGTTCAATAATCAATCGATCGATCGATCTCGGTACCAAAACTGGGATCATAGAGCCTCTCTCGGCGGAGTCACGCCAAGCATATGATAACCTATACAGCCGTCTTCCTAAAAAATGGCATGCATACACTATAGTCTATGCAGGTACGTACTTAAGCTTACTGCTTAACTTTGAGTTGGAGTTCCCTCCCCAATAGTCTAGACTATCGAGCAGCCACAGTGTATTGTAAGTTTGTGACTATGAAGCTTGTCCGCTCTCAGTTAAGGATAATCTAGTCTTAAAGTATGTGGATGACTATATACAATCCATCCACGGTTTTGGGCTTTTCCCCCGCAGACTCAAATTCGTGAAGGTAATTTTTTTTCTTTGCTTTCATCCTCACTAGGAATAATAGTGAAATTTAAGCTTTTAAGCTCAATAATAATCCTTTTCCCCATTTCTTTTACGTACAAAATTAGGCCCCAATTAAGGAGTACGGAGTATATAATGATATAAGAGGAATACCGTAAGCTATTCAGCTAATTTTCTCCTGTATAATTAAATTCAAGCCACGCCGTCAATTAAACTTTGACGATTCCTGGCCGCCAAGAAAGTCCTCCATTTCTGCTGCACTATGCAATTCAATTCTCCACCTTGACAAGAAAACTTCCAACCTTAATATTATCTGACTTACTCAGGGAAGGGGGGACGCCACGGCCCACAACAGCACGTTGTGAATACTCACGTGGATTGTCCACATGAGGCCTCAATGATCAATTATAACTTGTGTACTAGAAGAACTCTGGAGACTACTGAATACTGCCCCAGTGCTCAAAATGTATATTCAAATTGAACGAACGAATGAATTCACCATCGGCGGCCTGCCCTTGCCCCCTGGATAATAGACAATTTCACAAATAATGAGGTATTTTCTTCTTCATCAAGTACTGAACTTGAAAATGACAAATGAAATTGAAGAAAAAAAAAGTATGCAACACTTCAACAGAGTTTTATCCAAGTTCTGTCAGATTTTCAATCCCAGCTAAAAAGAGACGTCGCACGTTTGCTTCTAGCTGAAATCCTATGACAAGTTCTTCATTCCGATTGTCATTGTTATGTGGTTCAGAGGGTATTAAAAAAAAGAAGAAAAGAAAAGAAAAAGAAGAGAAAAGAAGTGGGAAAAATAAAAAAAGGCATTTCGCTTATGGTAATAATGAATCTTCGTATATCTTTGTATAATACAACCCACAGCAGCCATACAGAGTAGTCTGCGGTATGGAAGTTCTATACAGGACACCACGTCGTAAAATCAACAGAAGAGACATATCGAACTTGTATGTATTACATGTTGCTATGAGAAGTGAACTTGACTAGAGGAAATTATTTTTGTCGCTTTGGGCTTATAATCAGTTTTTGTTCTTCAATTTTTTGTCATGCTTCTACTAGCCGGCCTTATTACATGACTTTGTCTTTCTCTGCTCTGCTAGCCTTATTTCTTCGTTTTCTTTGTATTACATACTCCGTATACAAAGTATTACTATTAATTAATGAATTGATATCTTATCAGTTCTTGATCTTGTCTGTTAATCCCTATCTGCAGTCTAAGATCAGATTAGTAATAAAGCCTGAAGAATTAAGCCGTTATACGGAGTTCGCAGTTCAGGGTATTAATAATTAATCAGTTCTGTGACAGCATACTCCGTACTGATCGACGCAGACCCTGGCCTGGTTAGCTCTTAGTTACTGGGTCAGGGTCTTGACTAATAACGGCCGGTCTGTGACGATAATAGCATCTATATCCAGGGCCCTGGTGAATAACGAACTGTTGGTTTTTATGCAGGCTAGACGAGGCTAGCCTACACAATCCCTGTCGCGGGTAACCGGGTTCTGTACCTGCGTCGTAATAGTACGTGTCTATGTCTATGTCTCTCCTTGGGTAGGTGATGGCAATCAACGCTCCTGTCAATCACGGCTCTGCTGCGTATACTAAACTACTCCGTACGGAGCACTCGACATGCGAGACACGCGTCAAAATAGGCTTAGGGTTGACATGTAAGCACTCAATCCGCAATTAAGTTAGAGATTGTCATTAACAGTCAATCAAATCCTTAATTCTTAGTTAAAGCAACTCATTCACGGTCCTGACCATCGAATAACGACCTAACCGGACTCCAGACTGCAATCTATCCATAATCTATAGTCTCTATTAAATATGTGTCTGATTCAACTAACTAGCCTCTCTGAGAAACGAATCGAAAGAAACATACTCTGTCTATCCTCTGCCAAGTACAAATGAGGAAGATCAAACGAGGGTCGCAGACAGCAAGAGCAAGGAGCGAATGCAGTCAAGGAGCGAATGCGGTCAGGTGATGGTCACGGGACGAGTTCTTCGCTTTTCATCTTGCATCCGGTCAGTGACACACCTAAGACTAACGTCGACAAACGCACAGCTTACAATACTACAGCTTGTACAAGACAAGGTCTCCTGACAGGAGCTCCGACAGCCCTCTTTACAGGGACAGCATGTGCGCCTTCTCGTTGCCATTCTTCGCCGCCTCGCGCCTCTCCTTCTGCACCAGCGCCGCGTACAGGAGAGCGGACACGACTCCAGCGATGCTGACGCCGATCAGGACCCAGTACCCCGTCCGGTAGTACGGCGCATCCTGCTTCAGGAACGTGAACGTCGCCACGATACCGCCCGTGTTGCCAAAGCTGATCATCCAGGCCGAGCCGATACTGCGCTCCACGTGGCCCTTCAGGTTCATCAGGTACCAGCACACGACACTGGCGCCAGCGCCCAAAGACCCCATCGTGACGAGGCAGATGCCCGCGTATTCGGTCGAGAAGTGCTCCTTGCCGTGGATGCTGACCAGGATGGCGAGCCCGGCGATCATCAGCGCGTCGCCGAAGAGAATGTACGGCAGCCGGACGCGCGTCTTGTCCGACATGTACGCCATGATGAGACACAGGCCGAGGGCGGCGGCAAAAGGAGGCACCGAGTGCAGCTGGGTTTGCACGACCGAGTAATGCAGAGTCTGCACGATCGTGGGCAGGAAGTACGCCAGGGCGTACACAGGAACGACAATGGCTGAATACAGTCAGCTGATGAAGGCCCAGGCACTCAGTCTAACGCCCACTTACAAAAGTACATGATAGCAACAACATAGTTCTTGGGGTCCTTGAAGTAGTTCACGACATCCCGGAAGGTGACGGAGACCTTGTGGGATTCGTCGGTTCGTGTCTTGGCCACGACGAATCTCCTCTCCTCCTCGGTCAACCACTTCGCCTCGCGCGGGAAGTCAGCCAGCCCCCAGAAAGAAATGATGCCGACCACGATGGTCAGGATGCCTTCAATGATGAAGATCCATCGCCAGTTGCTGAGCCCGCGAATGCCATCCATGTTGGCGATCGCCGTGGCGAGCAAGCCGCCAAAGGCACCGGCGATGATGACGGACGACCAGTAGAGGGTAAATCGCTGCTGCGCCTCTTCATGCTTGTACCAGAAGCTGATTAGATAGAAACTGCCGGGGAAGATACCTGCTTCCGCCAGGCCGAGGAAGAAACGCGTCGCGATGAGACCGCTGTAGTTCTGGACAAAGCCCTGGCACAGCATGACAATGCCAAACGCCGTAATCGAGAGGGACAGCCAGACATGCGGATTGAACCTCTTCATGGCAATGTTCGACGGGATCTCGAAGAGGACATAGGGCACGAAGAAGACGGTCAGGGCGATGTTGGGCTGCTGGCCGGTAAGGCCCAGCTCCTTGGGCATGCTCATGGTGAGCGCATTGCTGATGTTGACCCGGTCCAGGAAGGCGACGAAGTAGACGAGAAACAGCATGGGCAGCACATGGAGGTCGATCTTGCGAAGTAACTTGGCTTCGTTAACAGGCGGCAACTCCTCCACGACGAGGGCTTCTGGGCTTTGCGGAGGCTCTTTGACTGCCTCTTGGCCTGCTTGGCGTCAGATCCACTGAATACGATATGTATGCAAACACGGATTCCACGATAGGAAGAGCATACTGGTAGAGCTCATCTTGACAGAGCGTGCGTCACTTGCTGTTTCTTCCAGTCTCGCCAAGGTCAATCGCTGTTGGCCTGCTGAATGCACATGGAAGGTGAAAACAGACCGCGAGCGAGGATGCAGGAAGAGGGAGCGCGAGGGGGCGGGCGAACGCCATTTCAGACAAGCTCAGCCAAGGCGATGATCCCTGTCGGTTACACGGGCTGTCTGCTGCATGAGCTAGCAAGGGCCTCGCCTGCACTGGAATGTCGATTTGTGCGGTTGCGACTGTGCCGCCGGCGACTGTGCTGTATACCTCCATCGCCAACAGAACAGTGGGCCAGCCTAGCGGCGGAGGTCTCCACCAGGACTATGCTTAGGGCAATACAGAGACCATGCCATGGGCCAGGCACAATTTTAGGCCGCCTACAAGCTTTTATAATGCCCTTGGGCGCAGAGATATGCATCGACTAAGCAGCCTAACCGACGGATCAGATTCCCCGCTGTCACCGCTGCACGGGCCGAAAGGTCACACCATTGCCGATGCTGTAATATACATACGCTAGAGAGTCCTCAATATTTACCCCAGGTGCGAACCCTAAATTACCGATACCTGAAGACTCTCCTTTTCTGGCAGACGCACAGGTCTAGGCGCTGGCCGGACCAAGATAGTGACTAGCGTCCGTGGATAATCTTTTATCACTATGTCGTCTCAACCTTGACAAGGCCTCGGCTCCATCGATGCCTGCGGCCTGCCTAATCCGATGGAGTATTCTATACTCCGTGGAGATGCCTCCCAACCAATGGTCGCTTACGGTGCCGAGGCTGGTTCAGCTCGTGCTGCTGCACCGAATAACATTCGAACTATTATCGGGGACTGACGTGGGTACTGCCGCGGGTTGGTCGCCTTTCTCCTGATCGACAGCCTGTCAGTAACGTTCGCGAAAACCCCAGGCCGAAAACCCTGGCGGATTATGTATGTCCTACAAGGAGAGGGGTATCAGATGCGACTCTTTAACAGCCTTATCATCACTTGTCTCTCCGGGCCATGCTGTCCTGTCCCATCCCATGGACGATGCCCGTCCTTCTTGCACCTAGGATCAGGACTTTTGCCCTCGACTTCAGCTTCTCAGTCGCCAACGTCTGACGAGTCGAGAAAGGCAGAGCCTTGATCGAGTCTCGTCCTTGGACACCATGACTGACACCACGACGTCGCTCCCACCGGGCTTCACGCCTGCTCTGAAGCCGCCGCCCGGCGTGACTCCCAATCCGGAGCACCCAGAGACCCTCACACCCAGAAGCAATCTCACCATCGGCATCTGCGTGTCCTTGGTCACCATCTTCTTCTTCTGCCGGGCCTACGTCCGCCTCATCATCAAGCGCACCTGGATCCTGGAAGACTGGTTTGCCTTGTTCTCATGGGTAGGCTCGCATTCGACCGAAGACTGCAGTCATCTCATCCTTCTGACCATCCGCAGATAGGCACCATCGCATTCTGCGCTCTCGTGGGCGCAACCATGGCGAACCATGGCGGCGAGCACATGTGGGACGTCACGGCGGCCCAAGTCAAGGCAGCAAATTATGTCCGTACCTACTTAACCTTTTGGTTCGACTGGGACAGACTGGTTTTGCTAACGCAAAAGGCAGTATTTTACGATTGCTTCGGTCGAGTACGGAGTCACGATCTGTCTGACCAAGCTCTCCGTATTGTGCCTCTACCGACGTATCTTCTCGACCCGGCGCTGGAGCCCGTTCGACATTCTCATTGTGGTGCTGATGGTGATGTTGGTCCTCTTCTACGGCATCACCTGCTTGGTGAAAATCTTCGAGTGCACGCCCCAGGCCAAGATCCTCGATAAGAGCATCCCGGGAAAGTGCATCAACGTGTCGATGCTGCTCGATGCCAGTGGGCTGTTTAACACTCTGACCGACTACCTCATCCTGTTCCTGCCCGTGCATGCGGTGTGGAAGCTGCAGTTGACCAAGAAGAAGAAGTTTCTTGTCATATTGGTGTTTACATTTGGTCTTTGGTATGTTCTCTATTTTCGACTCTGATTTTTGTTTCTTGACAATCTGCTAACTCACTCTAGTGCGCCAGTTTTCAGCACAATCGGGTTCGTTGTCCGGTTTCAATACGATAGCAACCCGGACACCAACTGGAACGATCCGTTGATTCTACTCTGGGGGTGAGCACAATTCCTTTTTTTTATTTCTGATTCTTGCTGACGTCCCCAGTGTGGCCGAACTGTGCAGCGGCAATCTCTGCCTCTGCTTCCCCGAGATGATCATCCTGTTCAACCGCAAAGCGCGCAGCCGCAGCAAGCCCAGCGCGCAACGGGAGAGTATCCTGAAAGCGTCAGCCGGCACGCGGTCACGCAAGGCGGGACCCCGAGATCCGGACGCGATGTATTTTGAGCTGGACGACCACAACATGTACGGCGTACACGTCACGCCAGAGCGGGAACGGTCAGCATTGTCCGAGCCGGAGAACGGCGCGGTGCACGTCAGTTACGAGATCACGGTGGAGTCGCGAGAAGCTTAGCCAGAGCCATGCCATGTCTGTATATAGTTTAGTATTTATGTCGGATAAGTTGCAAGTTTCAGAATTTGCTGTCCAGAGTGGAGTACAAGCTTGCCTTGGCAGGCTGCAGGATATTCACATATATGGAATAGATTAGCTGGTTCTATCCCGAAAACGAACAAGCGAAAAGGGGGTGACGCCTGTCGCGACCAGCCTGGCTGCCTGAGGGGCGATCACCACCAATATTGAGTGCCTGACGATTCTCATCTTGATGTCTTGGGTACGTAGAGTCCACGCCGCACTGTACGGGGTCCTACAGTCTAATCTGGATCAGTACAAGACTCCGTATGGACGTATGCACGTACGTACTGTACGGAGTACGGAGCTAGACTCCGCATCCCTGACGGGGAGTCGTGGACCCTAGTCGGGGATTATCAGTATCAAAGACGCCCTGGTTGTGTATCAAGTAATCTGCACTGAGTATTCTGCACTCCGAACAGAGCATACAAAGTATGTCTGCGAAGCATAAAATAAACTATTAAATCCAAACAGCAAATAAATTAAATAAGCAAATAAATAAAAAAATAACTTCATACTATCCCAAACAAAGAATAAATGCTGAGTACTAAAGCTAATTGATCCGTCCGTCCGTCTGTCCGAGCGATACTAAAACCATGTAAACTAACTATACTATACTCAGTAGGCATGCTAAAATACTATCGATAGCCACCGGAAAAAAGTTGATCAATTTCCCTGCACAGTGTTTGATTTTAGCTAATTAGTACCCATTTCTTATCCACACAGGCCAGACAAGACAGCCAAGCGAGTCGTTCGCGCGTGTAAGGACTAAGGAGAAAGAACTCTCTGTCAGTCCCCGGACCTAAGCTAAGGGTCTTAATAATGTCAATTACTCCGTATAATGCTATGATTTGGAATTTGGTTTCCATTCTTCTTACTCCGGAGTACTCCATCCTACGGAGTATTCCCGATCAGTGTTTATATACCGCCCGGTCCTCTTGGCCAGGTGAGTGAGGCGAGGCCAGCGATGGCCCAAGAATGTGGATCGGCTGCTGCAACCGAGGTAGTACTATACTATACAAAATGAGGCAGGTATATTAACTCTGTCTGCAATATTAGTCTGTGCAGTGTACTGTACAAAACAATGTTAAAATTGAGGTGGGTATGTCCTGGACAGAGTAGGAAATAACCCCGGACTTTACGGAGTAATATCCACCGGATTAGCTTAGATGGAATTGGGTTTGAGGGGTTTTTCTTTTCTGGATTTCAACGGTCTTGCGTGACGTCTATCCTATCATATGTACGGAGTACTGCAGTGTGCAGAGTTGTGACAGTGACAGTGACAGCCACACTGACAGCAACTGACACAACTGACGCAACCAACGCCTAGGGCCGAGGCCGTTGTACTGCACCTGCGTGCAGCCTGCAGGGTTCTGCAGCACCCGTGGAGCTGGGACATTCCTTCAGC